GGAAGAAATTCTTCCTAATGTCCAACCTGAACCTCCCCTGGTAAAGCTTCAGGCTCTGTCACAGAGTCATAGAATATCATGAGTGGAAAGGGACCCAGAAGGATCACCAGTCCAACTCCTGCACAGAACACCCCAACGATCCACCCTGTGCCTGAGAGTGTTGTCCATATACTCCTGGAGCTCTGTCAGCCTTGGGGCTGTGCCCACTGCCCTGGGGAGCTGTTCAGTGCATTTCACAGCTTCTTTGGCACAGCTCATCCCTGAGCATTGCCATTCCTCTGGGAGCAGTGAGGAGCTGCTTTGGATCCCATCTGTTGTCTCTCCCACCTGCTCCCTGTGCCTCCTGCTCCACTTGGCTCCTGGGATGGGTTGGGCAGGCAGAAGGAGCTGTTGGCTTGGCAGGGTGAACCAAGAACCATCAGCTCACAACATCTCCTGTCCAGCTTGAAAACTTCACTCCCATGGCCTTTTTTAGTGGATCAGTTTGCAGAAGCTTTTTGTCATTGAAGCCAAAATATTTTCTTCAGAGGAATCCACTTGGCATTTATCAGTTGAATTTATCTAACATCACTTCTCATCCCTGAAAATTTTCCAGGCCAGGTTGCACAAGGCTTGGAACAACCTGTGCTGGTGGAAGGTGTCCCTGCCCATGGAATGAGATGAGCTTTAAGTTCTTTCCAACCCAAACCATTCTATGATAATCCCCTTGTCTCCTCCACTTCAGAAGATCTCTCTGTGTAGAGGATATTCTTTTCTCCATCTTCTCCAGACTTTGTTCCCAGCACCTCTCCAGCTCTTGAATTTGCTCCATCCCTGTCTTGTCTATGAAATATCTGCCCTTTTTTCAGTAGCACAGGTAAATCCTGAGGTGTGAGAGCTGCTGTGGTGACATGTGCTGTGTGCTGTTGCAGAGAAATGCTGGCAGCAGCTCAGATGGGACTGAAGACTCAGATTTCTCCACGGACCCTGAGCACACAGACAGCTCAGAGAGCGACGGCACCTCCAGGAGATCTGCCCGTGTCACCCGTTCCTCTGCCAGGCTCAGCCAGAGCTCCCAGGGTAAGGCTCCTCTGGGACAGGGACAGGCTCCTCTGGGACAGGGAATGGCTCCTCTGGAGCAGAGAAAAGGATTTTCCTAACCAGGGAAAAGTCTGTTTTTAACCAGGGAAAGGGCTGTTCTTAACGAGGGAAAAGGCTTTTCTTGGACAAGGAAAAGGCTGTTCTTCACCAGGGAAAAGGATGGTTTTATTCAGAGAAAAGGCTGTTCTTAAGCAGAGGAGAAGTTTTTCTTGTACAAGGAGAAGGCTTTTCTTGACCAGGGAAAAGGTTTGTCTTAAACAAGGTAAAGGCTTTTCTTGAGCAGGGAAAAGCTTTTTTTTAACATACACGTTGTATGTATATATAAATGCACTGTTGTAATGCAAAGTAATTGCAGGAGTTGGAACTACATGAGCCTTAAGGTCCCTTCCAACCCAACCATTCCAGGATTCCTAGTCTTAGGAGCAGTGTAGGATCACAAACACACAGAGGATCCCAAATAGAGCTCCATACTGGAAACAATCCTGTTATACCCAAAGGTTATCTAAGCATTAATAGTTCTTATCTAAACTAACACACCTTTATCTTTCCCCATGGGAATGACTAGTTAAGTAAGTAACAAAGTCCAGAGAAAGTTGACGGAATTTCAGATTGGTGAGAGTGTCCAGAGGTTTTCTCTGGGAAGGGCAGAGCTTGAGTGTGTGGTGCCAAGCAGCTGCACAGAGCCATGAGCCATTGGACACTGACTCGGAGACGATTCCCTGGCTCCAAGCGGGTGTAATCCTGGTGTTTCCATGCATTTAGATTCCAGCCCAGTTCGGAATCCACCATCCTTTGGAGCAGAAGAGCCTGTGTACTCCACGAGGAGGGTGACCCGCAGCCAGCAGCAGCCTGCTCCAGTCACTCCCAAGAAGTATCCCCTGAGGCAGACACGCTCCTCCGGCTCCGAGACGGAGCAGGTGGTGGATTTCTCCGACAGAGGTACGTGGGGCACTGGGAGCTGTGCAGAACCCCTTGGGAAGCTGCTGGCTGAGGGCATAGTGTGGGATCCTAGCAGGCCAGAAAGCCTATGAAACCCTGGCTGGCTCC